ATGAGGTGGTTTGGTTTTTGATGTTGAGTTGTATGAGCTGTTTATATATGTTGGATATTAATCCCTTATTGATCATATCATTTGCAAATATTTTCTCCCATTCAGTAGGTTGTCTTTTTGGTTTGTCGATTGTTTTCTTTGCTGTGCAGAAGCTTTTAACTAGGTCCCATTTGTTTATTTTTGTTTTTATTTACTTTATGAGACAAATCCAAAAATTACTGGTTTGATTTATGTCAAAGAGTATTCTGCCTGTGTTTCCCTCTAAGAGTTTTATAGTATCTGTTCTTACATTTAGGTCTTTAATCCATTTTGATGTAAATAATTTCTTTTTTTTTTTTGTCTTTTGAGGGGAGATCATTAGGTTTATTTATTTTTTAATGGAGGCATTGGGGATTGAACCCAGGACCTCATACATGCTAAGCACTTACTCTACCACTGAACTATACCCTTCCCGTCTTAATCTATTTTGAATTTATTTTTGTAGATGGTATTAGAGAATATTCTAATTTCATTCTTTTACATGTAGCTGTCCAGTTTTCCCAGCACCACTCATTGAAGGGACTGTCTTCTCCATTGTATATTCTTGCCTCCTTTGTCATAGATTAAGTGTGTGGGTTTGTTTCTGGGCTCTCTGTCCTCATCTGAACCATTTCTTAAGTACACAGTTCAGTGGTATTAAGTACAACCATCTCCACCACCCGTCTCTAGAACTACTGCATCTTGTAAGTCGGAAACTCTGTCCCCGTTGAACAATGACGCTCCATCCCCTCCCCAGCCCCAGCTCCGAGCACCTACCATTCTACTTTCTGTCCAGCGATCTTGACTACTCCGAATGCTCATATAAGTGGAATCATACAGTGTTTGTCTTTTTGTTCCACCTTCTTTTTGTCTGACCCATGAGTTCACAATGCTTTTTATATTTGTAAATGGTTACATTTTAAATGGTTATGTAAGTACTTACATAATATCCTCAGTTTTGCTTCTTGGCTTGCAAAACCTAAAATATTTCCTGTGTACCATTCCCAGAAAATTGTGTCAATCCCTGGGCTAGATCAATGATTTGCTAACTATTCTCTGGTGCCAACCTATCTCTGGTAGAGGTGGAAGAGGGAAGAGGGTGGGTAGGGCTCAGGGGTCCCCTGTCCAGTCCCCACAGCAAACTCCAGCCTTGCCCAGAGGGGTTTAGCTGCTTTGCACAATGGCATCCACAGCAACTCCACTGGGAGGCAGTGGTCCCAGCCAGAACCTTGGAAAACCTCTGGACCAAATGTTTTATGAAATTCCTCAGATCCACACCTCAAAGTCCTCCCTTTGCAGCAAATTCAACTCTGAGAATGAGAGACAAAGTTCATTGGAAGGCTTCTTAGTAATTTGATGTTAAAAGAAATTGGAAGTCCTATACCAAATGGAGCAAAAAATACCTGTAAAAATAGGGAAAAAATCTTTTCAAGTGAAGAGAATTGAGACATGCTGCCCCCAAAATATGCCACGTGGGCAAAATTATTATTTTGAGTTGAAGTCATTTGAGTTCCTGAAATCTCTTATCTACCTAAAAACAGAGCCTCCCCAAATAACTCAATTGCCATAAGTCCCCTCCCAGGAAGCAACTGTAATCTCTTGTCAGAGAAGAGTGGCCACCACACCTGGAGAGACATTGTCACAAAACTATCAATTCTCCCACCTGTTCTCCTAACAGCCCCTTTATCTTAAAAAAAAAAAAAGAAAAAAGCCATTTGTGTTTCCATGAGTATCCTCTCTCCTCACCCCTTCTTAGAAGTCATCTGTTCTCCCAGAAATACTCCTCTGACCCTCCCCACTCCCCTTTAAGATGGCTTTGGAGGAGAAGAAAATATATTTTCCTCTATTCTTCTAAATTCTCAGCTGGAGCCCCTGTAACAATAGACAGATTGACAAAAGAAGGACATCCAGAGTTATTTAATGTAAGTTTTAAGGGACATGGGACACTTCATAAGGAAATAGGACTAGAGGAAGTGGATAAATTCAGGTGTTTCTGGATTTGATGAAGAGTGAAAATTGCAGAAAAATGTGATAGGAGCAAAAAGGGTCTGAGCTAAGTGTAGTAAACTAGGGGAAGCGGCAAGCCCTGTTCATTCAGATTCCTCTCAGGGGTCTTAAAGACGACGGTGCTCCTTTTCTCTGCATGGGGAGGGCACCTCTCACCTGACGGCTTTATGACCTGCTTCAGGGGAAGGTCAGAAAGTCTTCATGTACATGCCTTTTCTCAAATTCCTTCAGCTTCAAATATTTAGTATGCCAAGTTACCGTATTTTGGGGTAGCATGTCCTGAATGCCATCTGTACTTAAACTCAAATCCCATTGCTCATTTAGGTAGTCACTTCCTTCTGTGGTACCCCTATGCATGTAAAATTAAAAATTAATAAATTGATATGCCTTTTCTGATGTCTGGTATTTCTTTGTTTAATTTCTTGTCTAGTATCAGTTTAATTCACAGGCCACAGGAATATAACTTAAGAGGGTAGGGGGAAAGCTTTCTGTCCACTACAGAAGCAAAGTGCATGCTAAAATATCCTCCTTGGATATTTTTCCTTAAAAATGTACCTTGGAGATATTTTGAAAATTTTCTTATGACAAAAATCATATTTTGAGGAAAGTCTTGAAAACTGCAGAGTATCTTCAAAGACAATTGGACTGTAGGGCAAAGTTGTGATGTAGACCCGCGTACCATGCTCCACCACCATGGCCGGGCTATGGGAAGGGCTGACAGAGTTCAGGAAAGTGGGATTAAGGTTGTCAGAGTGGTTAACCTCCTCCCTGCAAAGAGGTAAAAAAATTTCACTTTTAAAAAGAAAATTAATTTTCAGATCCCACGTATTTTTTTCTCCCCACTGAGGGGTGAAATTTTCACCTTATTGAGTCTCTTTCATTTTATTTATTCATTTACTTTCCCAAAACTTCTGACTCCTTTGGTAGGCTGACATGCCCCCTGCCATTCATATTCAAAGTATCTGCGTAATAGTCTCATTTACAGTTGATGAAGGCACCAAAGGAGCTGTCATTGGGCTGTGCTCTTGACTTCTGTCTGCAGTGGAACCCATTTGTGAGTTGCAGGTAGTGGAAGGGCTGGAGGGAGTCCCCCTGAATGGAAAAACCCAGGCTTTCAGACACTTGAACGACAGGAGTTCAACTGTTTTATCAGAGCAGCGAGTGGCATTATCCCAGAAGCTCCTCACAATAAGCTTCTGTACCAAATTAATTAAGGTAAGGCTTGTAATTCCATTCCAGGGCATTCCAATGAAACTAATTTCAGACACATAATGCACAATTGGCTTTTCCACTTAACTTCCAAATGAAACATTCAGGGCAGTTAGCACCATCTACGTTAATCAGCAAAACCATCAGATCCTTGGGCAGCAGAGGCAGGCAGCCTTTTCCAGGAGGGTGAGGAGGAAGGTCTGTGTGCAGTGCACTGGTCGTTAGACGATTCAGATCAGAGAGGAGGAAGCTCCAGGGCCGCTCACCATCCTTCTGGGAGAAAGAGCCCTTTTAGAAAAGAATATGGTGGGAGCTGTGGTAAAAGAAAAATTACTCATTGGACACTTGTTAAAATGGTGAGAAAGATTTTACTTGTTGTGATGTGAGTCAACTGTATTGCCATAGGGGAGAAAGATGGGGCTCAACTCTGAACATACCCAAGAGAGCCAGGGATTTGTAGCCAATGAGCAGAATGAGGGCATCAGCAGATGAAAAGTTACTAAGTGGGGACATCCAGTATAGAGGGGATTCTTGCTGAAGACAGGCCAAGGACTTAGACATCAACGGCTGAGGTGAGGAACTTGATCAGATACCCAGTATTGGGAGATGATTTAACAGGATTCATGCTGAAACTGAACTCTTCAAGGAAGGACAGAAAGTCAGGGTCCAGGTTGAGTGAAGAGGGTGCAGGGGAGTCTGAGTGAAGTTTGTTCAAGGAGAGTCTTTGTCCATCCAGATGGCCAACAGGCATGTGAAAAGATGCTTCATAACCCTAATTAGTAGAGAAATGCAGATCAAAACTACAATGAGGTATCACCTCATATCAGTCAGACTGGCCTTCGTTAAAAAGTCTACAAATAATAAATGCTGGAGAGGTTGTGGAGAAAAGGGAACCCTTCTACACTGTTGGTGGGAATGTAAATTGGTGCAGCCACTATGGAGGACAGTATGGAGATACCTTAAAAAACTAAAACTAGACTTAACCATATGATCCAACAGTCCCACTCCTGGGCATATATCCAGAGGAAACTATAATTTGAAAAGATACATGCACCCCAATGTTCATAGCAGCACTATTTACAATAGCCAAGACGTGGAAGCAACCTAAATGCCCAATGACAGATAACTGAGTAAAGAAGATGTGGTATATTTTTACAATGGAATACTATTCAACATGGTTGGACCTGAAGACTATCATATTAAGTGAAGGAAGTCAGACAGAGAAAGACAAATATCATATGATGTCACTTATATGTGGATTCTAAAAAAAAAAGATAAATTTTATTTACAAACCAGAAATAGACTCACAGAGATAAAAAAAACTGTGGTTATCGGGGGGAAATGGAGGGAGGAGGGATAGATTAGGAGTTTGGGATTAACAGACACACATTACTATATATGTAATAGATTAACAACAAGGACCTACTGTAGAGCACGGGGAACTGTATTCAATTTCTTGTAATAATATGTAATGGAAAAGAATCTGAAAAAAAACATTTATATGGATGTATATGTATAACTGAATTGCTTTGATGTACACCTGAAACTAACATTGTAAATCAACTACACTTCAATAAAAAATAAAATTAAATAAAAGGGGAGTCTTTGTCATTGCTCTTCAGCAATTTTGTGATGTGATGATTAAAAAGTGGACTCAGGAGGAAATTGGGAGGTAAACATCAGGCACTGGGAAGACTTTTCAGTAAAAGTCATCATTTATGAGAAGACGGGAAGGCTTTCAAACTGGAGAGCCTCCTCTCCTTATGTCAGCTGGCGTGGCCTTGTCTAAGGACGCCTGAGCTCTTACATCTCAGCAGATCTAGGCTCAGTACTGCAGGTCGGGTCATTCACAATTGCACATTGTCTGCTCAGGAGCCGTGCCTCCAGTTATGTTGTTCATCACAGGGAGTGGCTGGCGGAGTGTGCTCGGTTCCCAGGCAAGCCGGAGGCATATAAAAGCTCCAGGGAGAGGCAGGGGCCTGGCCCCAGGTCCTCCTAACACTAGCATTTCACAGTAGCATTTCCCCTCTTCTGGCTCCATCTTCTCTGTTTAATTTTGCAAACCTCCTCTGCCCTGTTTCTTTGCCATTTATCCAGCTACCTAGCTCTTTCTTCCTGAGTCTAACTTACTCAGTTTCCCTTTGCCGGTCCACTGTTGGACTGTCAGTACTTCTATAAATTTGTGCCTGACGCCCATAAACTCTAAAAATCTGATGTGTTCCCTTTCAGAAGTCCACAGATGCCCTCTGTCCTAGTCTTACAATTCCCTCATCTGTAAGGCACAAGAAAGGCTTTCTGTGATGAATTTGCCTAGTTGAAATTAGATTCTGACTTGGAGAGATGCTACAGGAGACAGGTCACATAAAGTTACGTGGAAGGCGAAGTCACCTCGTCAATCCGGCTCTGAGAACCTGGGACCTAGAGCTTTGGGGTTGGGGACTCTGCCGCCATGGGAGACTATTGTGATGTATTACTAATACGTTAAGGGTCAGACTAAAAACCTACATTGGAAATGGGTTTGATTTGCTTCCTGCAGCTATCGGTGTTGCCTCCAGGAGCAGCAGTGGAGAACTGAGAGCATCAGCAGCTCTTGGCCCCCTAAATCCACCAGGGGAGACCTGTGCACAGTTTTGGAGAAACACTTAATAGCGCCGCTCTTTATTCTTCCAGCAACTACGTCCTGCCTTTAGTGGGCCTACTTGCTTCTGACCCCAGCCTGGTCCTGTCCTTGGGGAAGATGTGCTCCAGACCACACAAGTGGATTTAAGCTTCTGATTCCTGTTGATTACTATCCTCTCCCTTGGTCTTCAGGTTTCTCTGTGCCTGTCCTGTATTTCTGAAATCATATGATGATTATTCATAGCTCTCTAAAGTCTACTCTGAATTCTCCTTTCTGTTTAGAAATTTCATTAACCAATGCTCTAACCTGCCTCCCCGCTTGCTCACCTTCTCACCTCAAACCTTTCAGAGAATGGAAGGTAGTTCCTCCTGGAAGAAAATGTGAGAGCTGCTTCAGCCCAGGTGTGTGGGCAACTCTAGCCCATTTGGGTCCCCCTGTTTTATGTGATTTTGACTTGATGTCACTAAAGGGCCTGTGTGCTCAGGGGAGAGTGGGGTGGTGTCAGCACTAACTGTGCTTGGAAGGCTGGAGGGGGAGTAGCCTGATTGTTCTTGGCTTAAGCAGCTGCTCATTCATTGCGCAGACTTTCATTACTGAATCTTAATCAATTGATTCTCCAAAAGGCTTTGATTTACCCCATCTTACTTCTTTCTGATTTCCTTGTTGGAATGCTGGCTGAATACTCTGGTCATTCATGAACTGGCTTCTGACAGGGCACCTCTCATGGTCTCTGGCCTGAGTATTTAGCATTTGTGTTAATGCCAGTTACCACTCTCTTCAGCTCCTTTTGTAAGATCAGCATTCTTCACAGTGGTGATCGAAGGGGCATCTTTTACACTCTTCCCCCATTGTCAGCTTCTCCATCATGATTGGAAAATGGGCCCCCGACTGGGTGGGCACAGCCGTACTTCCTGTGTAATAATATCAGTTTTTCCCCATTAGCAATTGATTTATGCCCAGGGTTGTGAATGTAACACAAAGATATGAAGTATAAAAAGGCATTGGACCTTAGATGGCTGTAGTGTAAAACCAGCTCTTGGTGTCTTTGCACAGGGGTGTGCGGCAGGTGTGCGTTGAACACCTCTGTGGTCACAGTTCAGTCCAGAGCCAGACACTGATGAAGAAATGGGTTGAGGTTGGGGATGCTTGGAGAAGGGTCCTCAGAAAATACTCTCAGTTATCAGCTGCTTCAGGGATCAGGAAGAAGCAGAATTCAAGGCTCTTAGATGCTAATTTCTTCTCACACTAGGACGAGAGTTCAAATGCTATTTGGTGGCTGTGAGCATCCCCATCAACAAACACTTGTATCTGAGATCCTAGAGGTCAGCCTAGATGATATACCTGTTGCAGATTTAGAAATGCATGGATATTTTGGCAAGTCCAGTGGGGTTTCATTTGCACAAAGGATGAAAGGGCTTTATGGAAAGGAACCTATGTTAAGGAAGCAATCAAACTTAATCTAAGGACAATGGGTTATGGAGGAAGAAGGGGTAGGTTTTGTTTGTTTTCCTTTGGTAACAGCTTTATTGGGATATAATTTACAGTTCATCCATTTAAAGTTACAGTTCAGTGGTATTTAGTATATTCCCCAAGTTGTACAACCATCGCCACAATGAAATTAGAAAGTCTTCATCACCCCCAAAAGAAGGCTTATACCCTTTAGCCATCACCCTACAATCTGCCCAATTCCCCCAGCCCTAGCAAACACTCATCTCCTTTTGGTCTCTATGAATTTGCCTATTCTGGATATTTTATATAAACATAATCAGACACTCTGTGACCTTTTTTGTTTGGGAGCTTTCATTTATCATGATGTTTTAAAGATTCATCTATGCTGTAATGTGTATTGGCACTTCATTCCTTTTCATGGCCAAATAATATTCCGTTATATGAATCTACCAGTTTCTTTATTCATTCATCAGTTGATGGGTCATCTGTTTGGGTTCCTTCAATTTTCTGGCTTTATGAATAAGATACTATAAACATTCATGTTCAAGTTTTTGTGCGGACACGTTTTTATTTCTCTTGGCACATACTGAGGAGAGGAACTGAAGGATCCGACGTTAACCGGGAGGAAGAGTCTTGAGTAGAGCATGATGCATGCTTTCCAGACTGTTCTCTGATTCCCCTCTCTTAGGTTCATGCTGAATCCTATAAAGAGGAACATCAAATAAAAGGAAACAGAAAATCGTGCCACTGCAGTCTCTTCAGGCAGTGGTGAGCACAGGTCCCCTGTGCCATGGACTGGTTTCACAGGTGAAGATCCCTAACTGGAGGTGACTGGGACGGGAAGAAGTGGACAAGGACCTCCAGCAGAAGGCACAGAGCAGTTGCTTAAGTACTGTGTCAGGCCAGTGTACCCCAGAGTACTGCCAGGAAGCACAGAGCCCTAGGAGGAGGAAATGGAGATGCCAGGCATGGCTCCCAGGACCGCCCAGACCCTTATGTGAGGCACCCCCATGGGGTTTCCCACACATGGGGGAGGAATGTGAACGGAGGGAAGTTCTCCACAGAGAAGGGGGAGAATCTGTAGTTTGATGAGTGAAATTCTGTAGCAGAGCTCTGTGTGCATGGCAGGGTGCTGGTGCTTAGAGGACCAGCAGCTTCTAGGCACAGAGCTTGCAGCAGGGAAGACTGCAGTGCCTCTGGCACACCTAGAAAGACCACCAGATCTGGAGGAGCCATGCGAACCAGGACAGTGACCACCTCCATGGTAATCTTCATCGTCATAGTCCATCTCCCCTGCCTCCATGTTTTGACAATGTATAAGTCCTTGAAATGCTGACATCTTTCTAGGATTGAGGAAAGTCCTCAGAATGACTGAGGCAGAACCTCTCACATGTCTGGCAGGAAAGGAGTTTGGGATAGAACTTGTTGGTTGATGGGAAATAAGAAGACACGACGTGTCTCACCCTCTTGAGTTTATGAACTGAGATTCCTGTTGGCTACTGATTTAAAGGAGGAAACGTGAGTGATGTGTTCCTAAAGGCCATAAGTAGGTCTGCTCTGTTGGAGTGGAGCATTCATGTAGGCAAAAAAGGAGTTGAAGATGTAAAAGTAAATCAGAAATTGATAGTGAAGGTCTCTGGATGCCATGAAAGAATTTGGACTTTATTCCATAGCTGTTGGCGGGCGTTTGAACCTTTGTCCTAGGCAGGACCCAGGCAGAGGCTCCCCTCCTCTGTCCAGGAGCTAGTAACTTGCCAGAGCTCCCATGTCCTCAACAAGGAGATTCAGAATGGATAGATGATCACT